GATTTTTTATATAATAAGGAAATTTCATAAAAATTGTTTCAAATGAGTAGCTTTACTGACTAAACTAGTTAATATTAATAATTTGAAATTATATTCATAATTAAAAAAACTTTCTTCAATTTTTATTTTTAACAATGAATATTATTAATAATATATCCAAATATTTTACCCCCCATCCCATCTCATATCTACAGGTTTCAAGAGAGTAAAAAATATTTTCTTACAGAACATATGCAAAAATTACAAAATAGTAGAAAACACTAAAGTTTCCATAGGATGAGACAAGCATGCTAGTCCACAGGAGGGAAAGGAAAAAACAAACAAACAAACAAATTAGTGATGACTCTAACGAGTAGACATAGGCACCCATTTGATTCCTTTCAATAATCAAGCAATATTGCCATTTAGCCTTGAACTACAACATCCACACATATTCCAACAACCTACTAACATTTATATGCAATGGGAGGATTATTGTTCTTTGGGTATTAGGGTTACTGTGATTGGAGAGGAGTTCTTGAATTTTCAGGAAATGAGATTTCAGAAACTATCCTGTGCTTCCGAAGAGCGTACTTGGATCTTGGGAAATGCTTATACTTTTATCGAAGTACCTAAGCTCACAGTGCGGTTTATGAACAAATCGGTGAAAGGATTAATTGGAATTGGCATGTCTATCAACCTAAGCCTGACATAAGGGTGATTTCCTACTTATCCCATTTCTGAGATTTTCACATTCTACTTTCATGGTAGTATGATGCTACACAATTCATTTGAAGATGGACATTCTCTAAAGGAACAATTAGACGTATTAGTAAATAGAAGTGTAATGATGTTTTTGCTGCGGTGCAACCTGCAATACACCGCGTTGCCAAACTATGCCGCATGTAAAGCAACTGGATCAAATTACTATGTTTAGAGCAAGAGGGAAGCCACCTCAATTTTCCTTCTTGGTATTTTTGTTTCCTTAAAGAACCATGCACCAGATGGAGAAAAGGAAGTCAGCAGGATTCTGACAAGAGATGAGAAGTTCAATTTCAGAGCTGCACATTGGGCTGATCTTCATGGTCTTTTATACAAGGCACTGCCAGAAGAAGTGTTCTAGTGGGGTCGTTTGAACCTTTGCTTCAGCACTTCTGAAGACAAAACCTCGGTTAAAGTTGAGGCTAAAGTTCTTCAAACTGAAGAGATTATTGAGATAAATGGGGACTTGCTTGTTGCAGCAGATGGATGCCTCTCTTCAATTCGGAAGACATTTCTACCTGATCTCAAATTGAGGCTTATTGAGATTACTAAAAACTTTTTGCATTTCATGATAATGTTTTGCTGATATGATTCATACCAGTTGATGGTAAGCATTACTTGTTCGCCAGGTATTCAGGTTGCTGTGCCTGGAGAGGAGTTCTAGACTTTTCGGGAAATGGGAATTCAGAATCTATCTTGGGCATCCAAAGACCGTACCCAGATCCTCGAAAATGCCTATACTTCGATCTAAACACTGGAAGGATCACTGGGCTTTATGAACTCCTTAACAAAAGGCTCAATTGGATTTGGTATGTCCATCAACATGAGCCTGGACAGAAGGTGATTGTCTGCTCTTACCCTATTCTTTAGATTTCCATGTCCTAAACTCCATAAATTTACCTCTTTTTAACTGGCCACAGTCCAAGTTTCAAGCTGCGAAAAGGTTATAGTTTGAAGATGGATTAGGGATCATTAGACCTCAGTTTCAAGAAACATTAACAATGGGATGATATATTGAAACTCGTCGTAATGATCTGCAGCAGTTAAACCAGCTAGAGGCTAGAGCTGATATAATAACTTGGAAGCTCTTTCAGGGAAATTCTGTGACCATGTAAGTAAGCAGTGACATGATAGAAAACATGTACCAAGAAGCAGAGAGTTTGGGTCCTGAATTGGTGAGAGTCACCAGAGAAACAAAGGAGCCTTTCATAAATATCATATATGATAGTGATCCTCTTGAGCTAATCTTTTGGGACAACGTGGTATTGATTGGAGATGCTTCTCACCCTACAACTCCTCATAGAGTCAGGAGTACAAACATTTCAACTTTGGATGCGGCCGTTCTAGGCAAATGTATTGAGAAGTTGGGAGCAGAAAACATACCTTCAGCTCTTGAAGAATATCAGCACATTAGGCTAACAGTCACTGCGAAACAAGTCCTGCATTCGCAGAGAGTGGGTCAAATCAAGCAAGGCTTAGCTCTTCCTGATAGTAAACTTTTTGATCCGACGGCAGCAAGTGCAGAGGAAAGTGAAGAGCTTCAGCGGATACATCTGCCTTTCTTTGCTAGTGCTCCTTTGTCAGTTGATTGATGTCAGTGCTCCTCGTGATTAAGACAAACTTCATTCTCCGCAGCAGTACATTCTTGGGTTCTCATGCTCTTTCTTTATTTCTCAAGTAAAATCCTTTTTTTGTGTTTTCGAACACCGTGTATAGATTCATATATCAATGTAAACAAACAAGGCCTGTGTTTTAATAGAATATAGCAAAGTTGTATTTGATGAGATGAACACTCTGAGTGCAATTAGCAGTAACAATTTACAATAAGAGGGTGCTCTGCAATTAACTTAACGGCACATAAAACACTCTAACCAGATTAGGGTAAATTATAAGGCATCTTGCCAGAACATTATTAGCATACAATCACTAGCTTTTTTATTTATTTATTTTACAAGCAGTGTTAACTTTCTTCTGAAACTCTGCACGGAAAATTACACTACCGAGTGGCCTCCACGACTCAGAACAACTCATACCACGCAAAAGACTACTAAAATAACAGTGGACATCAAACACTAAGAATATTAAACGCCCACCCTGCAATTGGCAATGATGCTTTGTGCCCTCCACCAAAGTTTATTTTCAAATAGACAAAGCTTAAGACTAGAAGAGACAGCATTACATTTCAACTCAAGTGTTTACAAGCCTACCACCATTGAATTAATAAAATACAAAGTTCATTTACGATACACAGCATATATCGGGCCCCATCATAACTGATTTTTTGCATTCCGAGAAGAAAAACAAATTACACTGATCTTGCAGGCCAGGTTGCTTGAGCTGACATAATAATTCCAACAATCACTCCAAACAACCCCAGAGCACTACCAAAGATCTCAATCACAAGAATCTTCACAAAAAGAGATGAGTTTTGGGCATCAGACAGAGCACAGCTGCTTCCAATTATACCCACACACAATCTGTTCCGCCAAAACAGAAAAAGATAAGCATACATAATTAACAGAAATTATAGATTGGTGAATCATGATGACACTAATGTCCACATAATTAAAATGGTCAAAGTTTTAATCACAAGCATGGCAGCTGTTCATAAAATTTTCATGTTATACACTTCATGATGCATAGCATATATTTCAGTAGAAGATAAAAGCAAAACAGATGAAGATACTAACCCGCAGACGAGGTTTGCAAAGCCCACAATAATCCCAGAGGCAAAAATTGCATATCCAGCTCTAAGAGACTCAGGGTCATAAATCTGTGATGCTGGAACACTCTCTAACTTTGTTTGTAGAATAATTGCTACAATAACGCCATATATAGCAACAGCCTCACAAAAAATTACACTGAGAAACACAAACAATTGAGCAAGTCACTGTTTGAAGGCATCATTTAAATTTCATAAGTTCAATTACCATGTAAGATAACTTCACAATCAGAAAAAATGCATATTTTGCAATCACTACATCCTGCATAGGTGCATGAAACTCAAAACTTGATAGAACTTGAAATTAATATGAGCAACAATAATCCAGGTATATAGCATTCTTCTCGCAAGAGATGTTTCATTCATGAAATGGCACAGCATTGCATGTAGACACACACTTTGAAAGGGGATTGAGAAGACTAGGGAAAATAATTGAACTAATAACATTTAGAATCTAGCTAAATCAGCAATACATTCTTGAATGAAAAATGCACATTTTGCAATCACTACATCCTGCATAGGTGCATGAAACTCAAAACTTGATAGAACTTGAAATTAATATGAGCAACAATAATCCAGCTATATAGCATCCTTCTCGCAAGAGATGTTTCATTCATGAAATGGCACAGCATTGCATGTAGACACACACTTTGAAAGGGGATTGAGAAGACTAGGGAAAATACTTGAACTAATAAAATTTAGAATCTAGCTAAATCAGCAATACATTCATTCCAAAGCTAAATGAGAAACTCTCCTTAACCCTTCTATTCGATGTGTAAAAATCATCTGCTGGGCTCTCGAGAATTGTAACAAGAATGAAGATGCTCTAGCTACCAAGTATAAACTCACAAGAAACTAAATACAAATTGTGCACAACCACCTATAAACGCACACCTCAAGCCATCTTTGCACAAGACAGTAATGTTAGCTTCCCAATATAACCTTCCAAAGTTCCTACTCGCAAAAACATTTTTTGAAAACCGCTTCTCTAACTAGTTCAAATCATGATGATTCCAATAACGAATTCACTAGTCCAAGATTCTGCAACCCAACACAAAAGCATTCAGCCCCACCACAGCACCACGGAAAGCACATACAAGTAACATACACAGCACAGATCCACACCAACTCCTCCATCCCAAAGCAAAAATTTCTCCTCCAACCACAAGCTTCTTAGTGCATTTAAATTTCTCACTAAAGAAATGCAGACAATACTCATCAATTTTGATTCACTTCTTATAGCCCACTACTAATGCAAACAACATTGGATGCCAAAAACCAGTTTGTAACCCAAATAGAAACTCAAATCAATCAATCATCATCAACCAAAAAGCCCCCACAAAAAAAATCAGATTAAAATAAAATCCATAAAAATCAACAATTAAACTTGAAAAAAAAATCAAAATTCCACCACTTTACACCCAAATCAAATTGAAATAAAGAAACAAAAAAGAAAATTAGGGTTTATAGTAATTTATAATAATCACCTGATGAGATTCTTAGAAGTAATGCGAGGAGCCTTGATTGCAGCACCAATTAAACTACTCCCAGTTATATAAATCCCCCTATGAAAAACACCATAGAAATCACATAATAAATAATTAATCAACAAAACATCAGGTTCAGCACACCAAAATTAACAAGTCACGGTGGTACCAGGCGGCGCCCAGGACTGAGACACCGATGGCGATGGCGATGCCTACGGCGGAGAAAGTGTAAGGAGAGATCCTAACGAGTGCATGCGACCATGAGCTTGACATTTTCGTGATTTGATAATTTGCGGAGGTTATTTCTTCTCCGATCTGATTGGTTTTTATCTGTGTGGAGAGAGCTCCTGTCGAGTATGTTAATTATAATTTGGGTAAACTACATTTGCATCCCTGTATGTTTACTTTTTACAATATAATCATTTTTGCGGTTTCAAGAACTTCAACGATGGTCCCTAATTTTTAAATGATCGAGGAAAGAAAATAGTTTAACAAGACATATTTTTACATGATGGGGAAAAAAAAATTCGATTGCTTTTATTTTTTATTTTTCAAGTTTTACGCTAGTTTATGTGATCGAATTTAATAATTATGCTAGAATTATGCTTCTTCTTTTTAAATTACAATCAAAGATTATATTATTGTTGCACTTTTTTAATATAAAACAATATCAAGATATTTTTTATGAATTTTTTTTAAAAAAATTAAATATGTGAAGATTGATTTTATATAATTTAGTTGACTTGATATATTCAAAAACAACTAAAATAACTAATAAAAATATAATTTAACTTAAAAAATTAGAATAATTTTTTTTTAATATTAAAAAGAAAACATATAAGATCGACTTGGATTAACTTGAATCAATCCAGTATTAAAAAATAAAATTAAAAAATAATCTTAAAAAATAACTCGAATCACCACAACTAACCAGTAAAGTTCATGGCAAGAGTTATGAGAACATAATAACTCTATAAAAAACAAATTAAAATAAATTATAAAACTATATATCTAGTAAATCTAATATTAAATAATAAAATCTTAAAAAAAGTTTTTTTAAAAAAAAATATAAGTGATTAAAGTGAAAAAAATAATTTATTTTTCATTGTTAATTACTATAGTCACAAATCAAATTCTTTTAGTTCTTGTTAATATATTACACATTTGGGATACATGAAAAGAAATATTTCACATTTAAGATTAAGGTTGGGATTTTAGAGGCTGGAGGTAGAACAACTTCATCCAATCCTTAAATTATTTTTATTTTTTTTAAATATTAATAAAATATAATCACATGCATGGATTTTAAGAGAAGAGATAAATGAAAGGATAAAGGTCTTGTTCATTGTATCATGATCAATAACTATGTATATTTTTAAAATCTAGTCAGGTCTAATAAATTAATTTAATATCATATTAGTCTAGAGCTGAAATCAAATTAGGTTAAAAAAAATAAGAAAAGAAAAAATTAGGTGTGATTCGATTGATCCAGTAACTCGGTTGATTTAGCAAGATCCAATTACAAACCTAATTATTTTTTTTATGTTTTTGTTATTAAAATAATGCTGTTTTATTTTATTTTTTAATACCCCAACTCAATCAAAATCCGATAATCCAATCAAAATTTAAAATCTAAATCTTGAATAGAGCAACCACCAGACCAGATGTTAAAACTACGGGGCTATGTTTAAACTTTTAAAAAACTTAAAAATTAATTCCTGCAGAAAATATAGTTTATTATAATAATATGTTTTTAGTAATATCTATCCATTTTAAATCAACGACGCAACAGGCCAGGCCCAATGGAAATATTAAGAAGGAAAAGGCTAAAAAATCTGGCTCATGGACCCAATCACACAAGCAAAAAACCACCTCCGCGGATAGAATCTTGAGCATATTACAATTTAGTCCCTATATTTAACAAAACTAAAAAATTAATCCATACAGTTTCAAATGTTTGTATATTGCACAACTATATCCTTGAATCCCTTCATAATCTAGCCTATTTGTCAATTCCTTATTTTTTCTTCCCAATTTATTTATTTTAAAAAACAGGATAAGAAAATTAAGTAATTAAAACATGAGATTTTTATTAGAAATGGAAAATGACCTTTTTTAAGAATAAACTACTGAATCGAATGCTGGTTTTTGGACTTTTTAATTATTGTTAGTATTATAGGAACTGACTGATTAATTTTTAATTTTAATAATATATATATATATATATATATATAATGTTTTCCCTTCTCTTCAATTGTAGAAATTTTATCATTCGTTTTCCTCCCTAATTCTCTTATGATGGGATTGGTATCAATTCAATTACTATATCTCGGTGTCTTTAAAAATGTAATTGAGTTATCTCAGTACTCTTTCTTTGAATTTTATTTTTCTATTACAAATCTCACCAATAACTCATTAAATTGATCATACAAAGAATCAATTAAAAAAATCAACAAAACTTAATTTGATCATGTCTAATTGAACATCAGCCAAGTATCAAATTTTTTTTCAACATTGCGAGAATCCTATACCAAACCAATTGAAATACATTATCAAACTCAACCTTAAATTAATATAATGTAAAATGATTAAATTAAAAAAAATTAAATGACAAAAAATAATCTGGAAGTATTCATAAAAAAAATCAACAAAATTAACTTTGATTTTGTCAAATTAAGCATCAATTAAGTATCATATTTGTTTTCCAACACTGCAAAGATCACATATCAAGTCAACTTAAATAAATCACTAAACTTAACTTTAAATAAATTTAATATAAAAGGATTAAATTAAAAAAATTAAGTAACAAAACAAAAGAAAAAAAAGTAATTA